CATATTGGCACAGGACATCAACATTGATGTAGAGGAGTTAATGGAGGGTATTATTCGAGGCATACCTTGCGAAAACTTGCGCACTCAAGCTAGTATGCATTGCTTTACCAATCCGGCTCAAATTTTACGTGCGTTTGCAGCTATAAAGTTGCCAATTAAACGGGTACGAAACCATGTAGTGAAACAAACTGCACAGGAAGCACAGGCGGACAAACAACAACGTTGCTACAATTGCAATGTTAAGGGCCATTGGGCCAAAGATTGTTTAAAGCCCAAACGGGAGGCAGGATCTTGCTATGCGTGCGGCTCAAAGGATCATTTAATAGCAGGATGTCCAAATAAAAAGTATGATATGGAAAACAAATATGTAAGATACTTAAGAATTCATTTTAGTAACTCATTTAACAAATCAATAATTGCAGAATGCCTTATAGACTCTGGCAGCCCTATTTCATTTTTAAAGGAAAAGTTTGTGCCATTAAAAGTAAAGCGTATGCCAGATGCAAATTCGTATGTAGGTTTAAATGAAAGTAAATTGAAAAATTTTGGAAAAATTTTATGTTTTATGAAGAAAAAGTTAATAAATGTTTATTTTAATGTTATAATTGTGGCAAATGAGTCTATGAGGTATGACGCTGTGCTTGGTAGAGATTTTATGGATTCTTTTGGTTTAAATATTGATTTAAGAACATTAAAAATTGTGAACGGGCATAAAGTTGATCACCAGAATAATGGTAAAAATGATATCATAGCTACAAGCTACAAAGAAAAACAAAAAAAAGTGGACGATGAAGATATCAAACACGAGCAAAATGAAACTATATTGTTAAATGATAAAATCGTTAATAAGGAAATAGTCAGTAATGAAACTGGTAGTGATGAATTAGTTAGTGAGAAAATTGGTAGTCCGGAAACGCTTGGTGATAAAGTTGGTAGTGATGAGATAGTTAGAAATAAAATAATTAGTGGTGAAATAGTTAGAAATGAAGTGATTGGGATCGAAACTGTTAGTGATGAGATAGTTAGTTATGGAGAGCTTAAGCTCGAACCTGATAGTGAAGAAGTTGTTAGTGATGAAATTATCTATAATCAAACCGGGATTGAAAAAGTGATTATAGAAGATATAGGAAACAGTGCAGTTAAAATTAATAATCATGTTAATGAAGCGCCAGTGAATAGCGAAATCATGGGAGTGTTAGAAGAGAATTTTGAGAAGGATATCTTAACAATAAGTTGGGAAGATTCTAACAAAAGAGAAAATATATATATTTTAAGTGAAGATATTGATTACAGCACAAAGTGTGAATTTGAAAATTTATTTGAAAATACTTATGTAAAAGCGAAAAGGCCAAATCAGCCAAAATTAAGACATGAGTTAAGCATAAGATTAGAAAACGACAAAGTATTTAATTGTACACCTAGGCGGTTATCTTATATGGAAAAAGAAAAGTTGCAAGAATTATTAGACGACTATTTAAAAGATGGAATCATTAGGCCAAGTTGTTCAGAGTATGCATCACCTATAGTACTAGTGAAGAAAAAAACTGGAGACATGAGGTTATGTATTGATTTTAGAAGACTGAACAAAATTATATGTAGAGACAACTACCCGCTACCATTGATCGACGATTTATTAGACAGACTATGCGGAAAAACAGTATTTTCAAAGTTGGATCTAAAAAACGGGTATTTTCATGTTTTTGTTAATGAGCAATCTATTAAATACACTTCATTTGTTACCCCTTTAGGACAATATGAATTTCTTAGGATGCCCATGGGTTTAAAAACTGCGCCACATGTATTTCAAAGATTTGTTAATAACATATTTTGTGATATGATAAAAGATAATAAGGTAATTGTTTACATGGATGATATTATGATAGCAAGTACAAACATAAAGGAACACATGGAGACCTTAAAGGAAGTGTTTATAAGACTGGTGCAAAACAAATTAGAGTTGAAATTAGATAAGTGTGAATTTTTTAAAAGCAGCGTTAAATATTTAGGATTTGTGGTGGATAGTAAAGGCGTTAGGGCTGATGAAAAAGGGTTAGAAGCGGTTAAATCCTTTCCAATACCAAACAAAATTCAGGGAGTACAAAGTTTCCTAGGGTTATGCTCCTACTTCAGGAGGTTCATTTTAAACTTTTCTATATTAGCTAAACCCTTATATGATTTATTGAAAAAAGATAAGAAATTCAAGTTTGGAGAAGAGGAGTTTAAGTGTTTTAATATGTTAAAAGATAAATTGTTAGAGGCGCCAGTACTATCAATATATAATTACAAAGAAGAAATAGAACTACATTGTGATGCCAGCGCAGTGGGATTTGGGGCTGTTTTATTTCAAAAAAAAGAAGATAGGAAATTACACCCGATTTTTTATTTTTCTAAAAGAACAACCGAAGTAGAGTCTAAATATCATAGTTTTGAGTTAGAAACGCTAGCCATCATTTACGCATTACGCAGATTTCGTATATATCTGCAGGGAAAACGATTTAAAATAATGACAGATTGCAACTCTTTAACTTTAACGCTTAACAAAATAGATTTAAATCCGAGAATTGCTAGATGGGCGTTAGAACTACAAAATTACGATTTTGAGTTAGTGCATAGATCGGGCAAGCAAATGCAACATGTGGATGCGTTAAGCAGATGTTATGAGGACATTTTAGTTATTGAATCCAATAGTTTTGAGGACAATTTAGTTATTTGCCAAAGCAAAGATGACAAACTGGTAGATATTAGAAAGATGTTAGAAAAAGAAGAGCACAAGCTATTCGAAATGAGAAATGGGGTCATTTACAGAAAAACAAATGATGGCAGATTAGTTTTTTATGTACCAAAGGATATGGAAGAACATGTACTTTACAAATATCATGATGAGTTGGGACATGCTGGGAGAGATAAGATGATCGATGCCATTGGAAAGAGTTACTGGTTCCCATATATTAAGGAAAAAGCAATAAAGCATATAGGGAATTGTTTAAAATGCATTGCCTTCGCCCCCAAGACGGGTAAGAGTGAAGGACTATTACATAGCATACCGAAAGGAAACAAACCGTGGGAGATGATCCATATAGACCATTATGGACCAATTAATGCAGGAAGGGCTAATAAATATATATTGGCGGTGGTTGACGGATTTTCAAAATTTGTTAGACTATATACAGCAAAGACAACAAGTACGAAAGAAGCGATTAAGGCATTAAAAGATTATTTCAGAGCGTATAGTAGACCTAAGTTCATTGTATCGGACAGAGGGAGTTGTTTTACTGCAAAAGAGTTTGATGAATTTTTAAAAAATGAGGGAGTAACGCATATTAAAATAGCAACGGGTTGTCCGCAAGCAAATGGTCAGGTGGAAAGGTTGAATAGAGACTTGGGTCCGATGATGGCAAAAATGGCGGAGCCAGAAAATGGTTTACATTGGGATGTTATTATAGAAAATGTTGAATATGCAATAAACAACACACAACACAAAAGCATAAAGAAATTTCCAAGCGAAATGTTATTCGGATTACAACAGAAAGGAAAAGTTGTTGATGAATTAAAAGAAAAATTAGAAGAGTTTACACAGGTGAACACGTGTGATAAAAGAAATTTAGAAAATATAAGAAAGAGTGGAGAAATATATCAAAAAGAAGCTCAAATCAGAAATGAAGAGCGGATTAATAAAAAGAAGAAAGTATCAGTAGAATATAAAATAGGTGACTATGTCATGGTAAAAAATTTTGATAGCACACCAGGAGTTTCAAAAAAGTTAATACCAAGATATAAAGGGCCTTATAGTATAGAAAAGATTTTAAAAAATGATAGATACTTGTTAAAGGATGTAGAAGGCTTTCAATTATCTCGCAACCCGTACGTTGGTATCTGGAATAGCCAAAACTTTAAGCATTGGATGCGAAAATAGGCAATAAGCATTAGTTATAAAGATAGATACACATATAAAAGACAGAGATCGGGAGCTCTCTTTGTCAGGATGGCCGAGTTGTAATAGGATAAGAGCATCATTGGTAACCCTAGCCAGGGTATTATAGTGTCACTATCTATGTTAATTATAACAGTACGATAAGTAAATATCGATAAAGAAAAGCGGCTGCAGAGAAGAAGTGGAAGGCAGTCTCTCTACAGTACTAGCAGTAAGAAGACGTGTTGTTAAAAATAAAAAGGCAACCCGAACATAAGTTAAATCAACGAAGAAAATCATACTATTACAATAGCATTACAGAAAACCTTATTATATTTATACGGATAAATGTATTCTATTTAAATTGCTTTCTTTTTTTTAGTGAATATTTAATGGATGCCGACAACTGGCAGCTCAGCAAGTGCAAAAAGGGCGCAACAAGCAGCAACAGCAGCAGCTGCAACACGTTGACGCACAGCCTCAAAACGCTGGAAATTGATTAGTTTTAGCCGTATTCATACCTTATTTACCTGTACAATATATATATCTATATATCGACATTTATACCACAGCTGGGCTTGGATTTAGTTCATAATTGTTCTCTAATAAAAATGCACACAACATGCCAACATATCTATATCTATATCTATATCTATATCTATATCTATATCTATATCTATATCTATATCTATATCTATATCTATATCTATATCTATATCTATATCTATATCTATATCTATATCTATATCTATATCTATATCTATATCTATATCTATATCTATATCTATATCTATATCTATATCTATATCTATATCTATATCTATATCTATATCTATATCTATATCTATATCTATATCTATATCTATATCTATATCTATATCTATATCTATATCTATATCTATATCTATATCTATATCTATATCTATATCTATATCTATATCTATATCTATATCTATATCATATCTATCTATATCTATATCTATATCTATCTATATCTATATCTATATCTATATCTATATCTATATCTATATCTATCTATATCTATATCTATATCTATATCTATATCTATATCTATATCTATATCTATATCTGTATTTGTATGTGAAGTGCAAGTGAATAAGGAAAACATTTGGCACGGACAAAACCGCTTAACGCTTAAGCCAATAATATAATCCAATGTGTTAACAGAATAAGGAAATACAACATCGTAGGGTATTCAGTTCAAATTCGAGCAGCTTTACAATTGCACACATACGCGCACACACACACACACATAGATTTACATCTTGATAGATCAGCCCCAGGGTGAGGTGCTGACTTTTCATTCGCAGCGATTAGATGCATATTCAGCTCATCAGTCGGCTCGGTCGGCGGTTGGGACAAAATGCTCTGGTTGGCATTACTGCTGGTTGGCATACCCTGCCTGCTGCTGTGGGATTACATGCGCCGGAAGAGGCGCAACGATATGCTGCATTATATGCCGGGGCCGGCGACATTGCCGTTTCTAGGGAATGTGCTCCTCTATCGCGGCATCGACGGCGAACGTGAGTGCCTGACGAATCCATTCGTGCTGCGGCTGGAACAGTCGATTGCGTGTACCGTTTACCGTTTGCAGGCATATGGTCGCATGTACCGCATCTGGGCGCTCTATCAGCTGGCCATCTTCTCCACCGATCCGCGTGATGTGCAGTTCGTCTTGAGCAGTCCACAGTTAATCACAAAGAACAATTTGTACAATCTGCTGCGGCCCTGGTTGGGCACCGGCCTCCTGATGAGCACTGGCAGCAAATGGCGTGCTCGACGCAAAATCATTACGCCCACCTTCCATTTCAAGATACTCGAGCGGTTCGTGGACATCTTCGATCAGCAGAGCACCATATTGGTGCTGCAGCTGCAGCAGCATGCCGATGGCCGAACTCCGCTCAACATATTCCCCTTCATTTTTCTAGCCGCACTCGATATTATAGCAGGTGAGCTAATCATAATGATATGGCAAAAGGTGTGTTTGCTGCCTGTATTGGAAAAAGGAACCTTTTAACAATAGTCTTCAGAGAGAATCAAGAATATATATCTATACCTTATAGGGTCTGAGGTGTCTTCTTCTATGCATTTGAACGTTAATTACGTTTATAAACAAAGCTAAGTTCCTCGAAATTGCCTTGAGCATCAATCAATCAATCAATCAATCAGTCTGCCAGTCAGTCAGGCACATCTTTTTATAAATATCTACTCTTGGCTAATGATTCCATTGAGTCCATCCTTAGAAACCGCCATGGGCACCAAAGTAAATGCACAGAGGGATCCGCACTTGCCATATGTGCAGGATGTATATGAGTGAGTATTCCGGAGGATGCAGTGCCCCGCAATTGGAGTCCACCTACTTGTTGCATCTCTTAGGTTAACGAGCATCATGACAGACCGGTTTATAAAGCCATGGCAGCGCAATGAATGGATATTTCGTTTGTTGAAGCCAACGCTGGCCAAGAAGCAGGATGCGCTGATCAGAATAATGCACGAGTTTACCGAGTGCATCATTAAGCAGCGACGCGAGGCGCTCGTCCAAAAGCAGCAGCAGCAGCAGCAGCTAAAGAGTGGCGATGAGGGCGACGTTCCGGGTCAAAGGCGTCGCTTGGCGCTGCTGGATGTGCTGCTGCAGGCCATCGCGTTGAATGGCGCGCCGCTGAGCGATGAAGAGATACGTGAAGAGGTGGACACGTTCATGTTCGAGGGCCATGACACAACCACAAGCGGCATATCCTTCTGTCTCTACGAGATCTCACGCCATGCGGCCGTGCAGCAGCGCCTGATCGATGAGATTGACAAGGTGTTCGGCGGCGACAGGCAACGCGCGTTGACGCTGCGCGATCTAAACGACCTCAAGTATTTGGAGTGTGTAATCAAGGAGGCGTTGCGTCTGTATCCATCCGTGCCCATCATAGCGCGCACCTTTAGCGAGGATGTGCAGATACGTGAGTGATGTCATCAAAGGCTAACAAATATTTGATATATATACTTAATCTTGGCAGGCGGCAAACGCATTCCCGCCGGCACCGATTTCTTTGTGGGCATCTTTGCGCTGCTAAGGGATGCACGCGAATTCCAGGCGCCCAATGAATTTCGGCCCGAGCGCTTTGCCAGCGACGTGGACACGACACAAACGTCGCCACATCGGCTGCATCCATATGCCCATGTGCCTTCTCGGCGAAGTTCGCCATGCTCGAGATGAAGTGCACCATTTGCAGGCTGCTGCAGCGTTTCCAGCTGCTGCCGTTGGGCCCACAGCCGCGGCCCATGCTCAGTCTTGTCCTGCGCTCCGTAAATGGCGTGCATCTGGGCCTGCGTCCATGCCTGGATAAATAGTGAAGCATCATTAGTCTAACACGTGCATGCAGTTAATTGGCCAGCTGTTGCGTGCAAACAAATAACAAATATCAATAAATCTAAACGCGCCGCTTTGTGTGTTTTCCGCATCAGCTGGCGAGCCAAACATCTGTTATTGTTGCTGTCTCACTTTGTTGCTATCTCCGTCTGTTTTGTTCTCTATGTTAATATACCCTGGCTGCTTTCATTAAATGGGGTGTTATGATTTTGTAACATTTTAATATTATATGTTTTAGTTTTTTCGGCTCTTATCAAATTTGCCAAAATTGAAATCAGAAGTCAGCTTAGCAGTGTGACCATATATATATATATTAAGTACACATATCGCCTATCGATTACAATATCGTGCAAATATATCGTCGTGCCAATATATCGCTGCAGTGCTTAACCTTTATGCTAATCAACGCATTTGAACTCAATTAAATTACACTTTTGTGTATGCATACAAGTTCCAATTTTGATATCGTTGTTATATAGTAAGCTTAAGCAAGGCTAACACACTTGAGTTGTGTTCGAATCCATTGATTGCAATTATCTATTACAGGGTGTCACAGAGTCGACTATTAGAGAAGCCTTGTCGTCGTTGTTATAAAACAGTTTGCACATATACATATTTCGTGGATAGTTATAGTTACATTGAGTACAAATTACTGCATATCTATTTGCCAAACATGTATACAATTATTGTATTTTCATTTAACATGGATTCTATAATATGGTAAGTGCGCGCTTTTTGAATAAGCTCTGCTCCGTTCAATTGAAGCGCTTTTAATTACGCTTGAAAAAATTCAATAAAACATTTGTACAATTTGAGAATGCGGAAAGGCGAAAACATTCTATGTAGATATATAGAAATATCTTCAGGTCTCATAGAACAATTTATATGCAATGCTTAACAAATCAAGTCGCGACGTAGTGTTGGAAAACAGCAAAATATTGAATATGTTTGACAACAACAGAAATGAACTTAAAACATTAGGAATAGGCGAACTGCTTTGATTCTACGATAAATGTATGTGTGCATAAGCAAACCAAGTAGACAGAGTCGAGCAAATTATACAAATCTATTCAATTTGGTTTTGGTAAATCCTTTATGCTTCACAGAGTATACAAGGATGCTGCTCATATTGTTGGTGATTGCTTTGCTAGTTTTTTTGCTGCGCTTTCTGTTGCAACTGTTTTGGACGGAGCGCCGGCACCGCCAACAGCTGGAGGCCGTGGCGCCCAATGTATCCCAGGTGCCGCTCATTGGCACGCTCTGGCAGATGCGCGACTTTCAGCCGGATAGTGAGTAGCTGGCTGATGGCTGATCCAATACCCAACTGGCTGGGCTAACATACGTGTAGTTGTTTAATTGCAGATTTACACGAGAAGTTTGCGGCATATGTGAAGCGTTACGGGCGCAGCTTTGTGGCCACCACATGCGGTCGCATGGTGCTGGTAACCGCCGAGCCGAGGCATGCGGATGCGCTGCTCCTGAGCAAACAGCAGCTGCGAAAGAGCGTCGTTTATGGCGCACTCGGCGGCTGGCTGGGCAACGGTTTGCTGCTCAGTCGCGGCGATCGCTGGCATGCCATGCGCAAGATCATAACGCCCACATTTCACTTTAGCATACTGGAGCAGTACATCGAGGTGTTCGATAGGCAGTGCAACGTGCTGGTGGACAGACTGCAGCCGCTGGCCGCGAACAGCAATCGGCCGCAGGCGTTCAATATCTATCCGTATATGTGCCTGGCTGCGCTGGACATCATCAGCGAGGCGGCGATGGGCGTCAGTGTCGATGCGCAGCGGAATGTGGATGCGCCGGTTGTGCAGGCTGTCAAAGAGTACAAATTAGTTGACCGCTGGCCAAGCAATTTGCCTAACATTTGTTCATCTTCTTGCCTGTTTGCAGCGTGACCAACATACTGGCGACACGTTTCATGCGACCGCATCTGTTGCCGCCGCTGCTGTTTCGCTTGCTCTGGCCCAGTGGCCATCGCAAACAGTGGGACGGTGTCAAGTGCCTGCACAGCTTCACCGACGACATCATCAGGCGGCGGCGTCAGCTGTTGCTGCACGAGCAGCAGCTGGGCAAACGGTCTGCCCTATTGGATACATTGCTGCAGGCACGCCTCGAGGGCGCACCGCTGACAGACGCACAGATACGCGATGAGGTGAGCACGTTCATCTTTGCCGGTCACGATACGACCACGTCGGCCGCCTCCTTCTGTCTGTTTCTGTTGTCGCGCCATGCGTCCGTGCAGCGACGTTTGTTCGAGGAGCTGCATGCCCACTATGGGCCCGCTGTGGATCGTCCGGTCATCTATGGCGACTTTGCGGATCTGCCCTATTTGCACTGCGTGATCAAGGAGTCGCTGCGTCTGTATCCGCCCATACCGGCCGTGGGTCGTTGCCTGGAAAGCGATTTGATGTTGGGTAAGTGTGCAATACATTGCATTGCGACTGGCTTACTAATTACGACACACACTCAGCAGATGGGGCACACCTGGTGCCTGCGGGCACCAATGTCATCGTGCTACTGTGGCAGCTGCTGCACGACGAGCAGCTGTACGAGGATCCGTTGCGCTTCTGGCCGGAGCGGCATTTGGACAGCCATAAAACGGCCGAGGCTGGCGCCGCCAGAGCCTGCTCCAGCTATATACCCTTCAGCGCTGGTCCGCGCAATTGCATTGGGCAGCGCTTTGCGCTGCTGGAGCTGAAGACAATTGTCATCAAGATGTTGCGGCATTTCGAGCTGCTGCCGCTTGGTGTCGATGTGAAGCCTTCGATTAAAATTGTGCTGCGCTCCGCCACGGGCGTTAATTTGGGCTTAAAGAAGCGTTCGTATGCGAATTGAATGCGATTTAGTTGTTGCGTGGCGTCAATAATAAATATGTACATATCTTTGGGTTTGCTTCAAAATACAATAAATTTATCGGTCATCGATAGCTCATCGATTTGTTAGTGCATCAGTGCAACGGCCTATCGATTGCGAGAGTTGCCACATCGCTTGCGTATAAACTGTTCCCGGGCACAGTTTGTTCTTAAAACGAATTGTCGAAAATATTGGTAATTTTGTTGTTTATTTTGTGTTATCATTTATTAATTTCTTTTTGTGGCAATTAACAAATAGTACAAGTATTTACCATTCTGTAGATAGTTAACTTGCTTTGCCCTAAAAGTGTTCACACGTGTCCGTAACATTTAAATGGATCTACTTAGTTATAAATTATGTATGTATATATATAAATTTAAATATAGGTACACAAGTTTATTTCACTAATTAATTAGTCTAATAGTTAAATTGAATTACAAAAAAAAAAAAAAAAAATAAAATAAAAAGAGAAAAAACGAAACGAAACGAAAAGCAACAAATGTTATAAAACAAATGCGTAACAAACATTTATAACAATTGTGTTGACATTCTCTTATATTACTTTTTGTTTACATCGAATTTAATTAGTTATACATATATTGTTGTTGTAAATTGTACTTGGCGCTTGTGAAATTGTTGTCCTCAGTTTAACAACAATTCGTGTTTGTTATGAAAACCGTTCTTGAATTCAAATTGCGCTCCAAAAATTGTTCACAGTGTAACACTAAAACATTCACAATTATTCACCTAACAAATTGTTTACTTAGAGTGGATTGGCCGGACGAGGGGGTAGGGGAGGCATATGAGCTGCCTCTCTCTCTATCTCGCGCTCTTCCTCTCTCTTGTAGAGCATAAAACATTTAAAACATTTTCGATTTACACATATATATCTAGACATTATCGTATATGTTTAAAATGTTGCTAAAACGTAAATATACATTTAACTGTGCCGTTTGTATTAGACCGTTTTATAAGTGTGTATATCGTATATATATATATAAACATATATATATAGTAATTGTATGCTTAGGCTAAACATTAATTGCTAACAGTCTTTTATCACGTTTAGTTTGTAGTTTGCCAATGCCAATGCCTCAGAGCCATGGTCAGCGGCACATAATGTACAGACATATATATATATATATATGTGTGCGTGTGTGTGTGTGTGTGTGTGTATATACATGCCATTTAAATATATGTAGGGTATATATATATCTATATATGCGGTAGTTTATAATTGTATTGTGTGACTATAAATTTTAATTTAAACGAATTAACAAACACTTTTTGCACTAAATATTCAACTAGTTGCCTATGCATGTGTGTGTGTGTGTGTGTGTGTGTGTGTGACTACATACAAATTACATTTAAAAAAAAAAATTATTTATATATATATATTTATATAAAAATGTTTAGATATCTAGTTATCGTTTATATATAAAAAAAAAAGGAAGAAACAAAAAAAAATAAAATAGAAACAGCCGCTGGGCGAGTCTCCAGGAGCCCCAACTAAAGTAGGTTTCTTGTTGCATGCTCACTCATTGGTTCGGTTCAACTTATCGGCTCCTCACACAAATATGTATATATAGTATATATATAGTATATTACATGAATGTTACCCATGCACATTTTGTTTGTAAATAGTTGTTAGCACTCTCAAGTACATTTATCTAGTTGGTTTAACAATTTAAATAGTAGCTCAGCTTTGACTGCATTCGCCTTTTTTTTGGAGCTTCAACTCGCACTCGCCTTTGCCGTTGGCTGCCACATTTATCACATCAGCTGAAACCCTCAATAATATATAGGCGTGTGTGTGTGTGTGTGTGTGTGTGTAGGGGCCCCGTTTAGGGTATGCCGCTGTTGCTGTTGCTGCTTTGCGATTCGGCATCCGTTTTCGTTGAGTTCGCCGCCTTGTTCTGTAGCTCCTCGTATTCGCTTTTGATGTCCACAAAGAGTTTGCTCTGCTTCTGATGCTCCTCCTGTTCGTATGGTTATTTGGCATTCATTAGCTTGACATGGACATTGAAACGTTGCACGGACTCACCATGATCTCATCTATGCGCTCGTTGGCGTGCGGCACATCGTAACGATTGTTCTGCTCCCGCAGCTGGACTGCTGCGCTCAGCTGCTGATCGAGTGTCCGTTCCATCTGCTCCAGCGAGCTGCCCAGCACGTGCGTGATTACTGCTAAAAGCCAAAGCATTCAATTGTGTTTATTCAATTAATCGATTCAAAGTTCCATATTGTATTTTAATCTTAAACAAAGGAAACTCCGCACAATCCCTATCCAAAGGAACAATACTAGAATGGATTTGGAGTAGCTAGCTCTTATAAGCTTCGAGTTATGCTTCTCCTGTTCCACATATAAAATGTCCAGTCTCTAGCTTGGCTCTTGTCCTGATCGGACAAAGGATTGAATATGTCTATGTGGCTGGAGAGGTGCTCTCAGCGAATGAAGAAAACGCCCGATTATATGGCTCACCTGTGCTCGGCATGAAGAGTCGCTTGGCCAGCAACATATCGTCCTGGCCATCTTGGGAGCTGGCGGCGCTGCTGCGCTTGAGCGAGACGGATGTGCTGCCCATTACCGATTCGGGTGTAAGCGGACTCTGGCAATAGTCGCAGTCGCTGTCGCCGACGCCGAGGCAGCTGCAACTGGTCGACTTGGAGCTGGGCGACTGGGCGGCCGATGTTGCGTGCAGGGCGCGCAAACGCTTGGCGGCTGTAACATTCACGACGCTGACGCTCTTCGATATTGAGGACTTCACCGATGCCGTCTCCGGCGGCACCAGGGCCAGCGGCGGCGTCTTGGAGCTGCCCATGCCGTTGCCGGCGCCCAGACGCGCCTGTGACATTGTGCTGTCAAGGAAATTGTGATGCGAATGATGACCATGACCATGACCATGACCATGGCGATGATGATGATGTTGATGATGCTGCTGCTGTTGTGGATCGTGCGATTGGCTTGCATGACTGAAGTTTGTTATGCTGGACATGGCATCCTCGATGTCGTCATCGGTGTCATCATCGTCATCATCATCATCGGCATCCAGCCGATCGTTGTCCTGATCCGAGCCGCAACTCTGCAGATTCTGTATAAGACAGAGCACAGCCTTTTCCAATTGGGCGGGATGCTCCGATGCGGGCACATCAATTGTCGACTGCGGTATTTGTGTATTGATAATAACCGAGAATTTCTTCTTCATCTCCTGAACGCGACGCTTGCCCTCCTCATCGCCCAGCAGCGTATTGACGCACACAAACGAGTGCACCTTGTTCGTCTCCTTGTCAATCTCCAGATACCCCTTCGACTGCAAATAGATGATGTTGCCGTTGCGCGTGAACAGGCGATATGTCGACTCGCCGTACGAGCTATTGCAGTCGTACACTGAAAACAAAACAGAGTTTATATAACAAATGGTAACGGAGCAGGGGGGATGGCACTCACTTTGACGCAGGGCAACAATCACCCAGCGTACATCATCGTTGTGCATAAAGGTAAACGGATTCAGATTCCGCACCTCGTCCGTCATATAGCCGGCAACAATGCCGATCCTCTGATCGCAATCAATGATCCGGCCATCGATCAGATGCCTGGTGCGATACTCCAGCGTGTTCGCATCGAACAGACGATTCACGATCTTCGGTGGCCTTATAATGCGCGCACAGGCGGTCAGCACCTGCAAATCGTATAGATATCATATTATATTATATGCATATAGATTTCGATGTGGTATGCACTCACAATATCGTTGCCGCTTATCGTATGCAAAGGTATGGCATCGTCACGGCCGCGGGTGCGCCGTATTAGCTGCAGGCTGGAGCTGAACGTGTTCGAGCGTATGCCGCGCGGCGCCTCGTCGCTGCGCCGGAAGCAGCCATCGATTTTGACCACCTCGTAGGCGGTGGGCTCTGAGCGTGGGCCGGCGCGCGCCAAGCTGCATGCAGAAGAAAGTGTTTGGAAATCGAGATGGAACTTTTAACATATATAACATATATATATCGAGTTATCGAAATTGCTGCTATCGCTGCGTGTGCATATCGATAGGGCAGTGTGACCAATCGGGCTTGATTTGGCTGCTTTGCATCAGCTCGGTTAGCGCAAACTGGCAGCACTTTTAGTGACCGTTTGAAAATTGTTTTGCCAGCAGCTGCAGTGCTGCCAATCAGTGTCTAGATGAGACTTTTCTAGACTAGCTTGCCTTTTGATTAGGCATAGCCGAACAAATTGGCAGCACTTGTCACTGTCGTTTATTTATCACTTACGAGTGAAGCCAATTGAAAGTTGATTTAATCAATTAGTAGCGCTTGTTTAACTGTTATTGCCAGTGCTGCCAATTGTTCTCTTTAGCACTTACCGCACTCGAAAGCTGCGTCTATCATCGCGCAACTTGCGATCAATGTAATCCTCCTCAGATTTGCTGCGCTGACGCGGCTCACCATCGGCATCCGTTGGCTCCGCATGCGCATCGAAGAGATTCTCCAGCTCGGTGGGTATTAGCTGTTGCTTGAGCATTTCATGGTCCTCAGGATGTGTGATCTGCAGTATACTTTGGCCGTACAGGTCTGTCTGACAGTGGCCCAGGTGCTGTTCGATGCTGGACGATATTAACAGTATTTGGCCGTGACAGGTGAGCGTCAGAAAAAAGCTATCCAACATGCCCATCAGTGTGTCCGTGACCTGCGGTCGCTGTTGATGCAACGTCTTGCCAAACACTAATCGAATCAAGATATATGCCAATAAATCTTATTCACAATGCGGAACTAACATTTTATATGATAAATTTAAGTCTCTGGATTTTTGCAACAGTCTGGCAACGCTTTATCGAATTCAAATTGGCAGACTGTTACGCGTAAAAGGTTGCCAGTCTGTGCAAAATAATCATTTCAATCAAAAGCTATTGATGGCAAATTGACACACACACACCCACACACACCCCCACACACACACACATATATATATATAGATATATATGTATATGCTTACCGTACTTGAGCCGCAGTCCGTGCGCAGCAAAGCGCAGCACCGCCGTCTTGTCAACGCGTCGCGGCGACTCTGCCACATGTGGCACCATGGTGGAC